CCCCCCACCACACACACACTATAGGATTCCTATATATGAACACCCCAAGACCTCCCCACTATGCGATTCCTATTTCTGAACACCCCAACTACAAGACCCTCCCCCCTTCTTTCTTGACCGGCGGTGACAGATTCTTCTGCTCCTCTGCGGTAATGTCTATGTAGGAAATTAAAATCCCCTCCAGCCGCAGATACCCCTCTCCCAGAGAGTCCACAGCCATTAATCAAAGGGCTCCCAGGGACAGCCACTTCCACGTGATCCCCCCAGAGAGAGAGCCCAGGGGCTGTTGGGTTAAATACGGGGCCCCTGTCTGGGATATTTCAGCGGACAGAACAATGCATTACTTGGCTCATAAATCACGGCGACTCCTCCAGTGTTTTCTTTTCCTGCAAAGCGTGAGACATCTAGGAGGCTGATTTTACCTGCCTGTCAGCCTGGACGTACCAAGGTTGCCAACCGCCCAGGAATTCACAGACAGACTGTAAAAAAAACATAGCCAGCGCTTGTCCATAAACTCCGTGAAAAATGTCTTTCAAAAGGCGTTATTATTTTTTTCCATAGTTCAGTTTAAAGCCCCATCAAGGTCTTGCGCCTGTTTAGTTCTATAGTCCTTATGTTAAAGCCCAGCTTTAAATCGGAGAAATACATTCCAGGTGCATCACAAACAAATGGTGTGCGGTTCATTTTCTTTAGAAAGCAGCCACAGCCTGAGTAGGAAAGCCCGCCCCCTGCCAGCATGCTGCAAAGAAGTGCCATTGCTCTATGTGAGGAAGCAGTCGTCTCTCTGCAGAAGTAAGACATGCCCCCTGCAGAAGTAAGACACGCCCCCTACTCAGTCAAAGCTAGAGCTCTCCAATCAGGAAGAGGCATGAACTTTGCAGATTGCAAAGCTATAGGTCTGGCTCAGTAGTGGGGAGCGGGGGTGGGGGTCTGATCTAGAAGCAGTGGTCTATCTGCAGAGGTCAGACATGCCCCCTGCTGAGTCAAAGTTAGAGCTTTCCAATGAGGAAGAGGCGTGAACTTTGCAGATTGCACAGTTATAGGTCTGATTTAGAAGGGAGCATGTCTGATCTCTGCAGAGAGATCACTGCTTCCACACAGAGAACAATGGTCCTTCTCTGCGTGGAAGCTGTGGTCACTCTGCAGAGATCACACCCCCCTTCTGAGCCAGACCTATAGCTCTTATAGATGATGTTTTGTAGCTTCTCCAAGCAACTTCTTCTGCACCAGTTTCAGGGTGCACACCCCAAATTGACTGGCCATTTGTCTGTGATAGTTCTCATGAATTTAGCTTGTGGTGTATCTAGTAGTAGGTAGTCACATTTAGCTGGACTTATTCTGCAATGCTGAAGATGTTTCATAGATCCTCCAAGCCGAGAGAATGGAAGAAGTGGCTTGGAGGATCTACGGGAACGGCTTCAACATTTTAGAACAAGTCCAGCTGAATGTGACCAACTACTACCAGCTACACCATGGCCGGGATACACGAGAACCTTCACAGACATGTTGACAATCATTTTGAGGTGTGCACCCTGAAACTGGTGCAGGAACTGAAGAAGTGGTTTGGAGGAGCTATGAAACATCTTCAACATTACAGAACAAGTCCAGCTGAATGTGACCAACTTCTACCAGCTACGCCATGACCTGGACACATGAGAACCTTTGCAGACACATTGGCAATCATTTTGGGGTGTACACCCTGAAACTGGTGTGGGAACTCTAGACTTGGAGGATCCTCCAAGCCAAGAGAATAAAAAAAGAAGTGACTTGGAGGAGCTACAAAACATCTTCCACATATCAGAACAAGTCCAGCTGAATGTGACCAACTTCTACCAGCTACGCCATGACCTGGACACATGAGAACCTACACAGACACATTGATAATCATTTTGGGGTGTACACCATGACTGATGCAGGAACTGAAGAAGTGTCTTGGAGGAGCTACGAAGCATCTTCAACATTATGGAACAAGTCCAGCTGAAAGTGACTAGCTACTGTTAGATACGCCAAAAGGACTGTTTGTAATTGTGGACTTTGAGACATTGGCTGAACGTTGACATCCTGCCGGTGATGCTACTTACCATAGGCTTGGCCTCGATGTTCTCTCTCAGCAGCCATTCCTCGTTCAGGGTGTACCGTGCCTTCCCTGTGATGGCGTCTATGGAGCCCTTGTTGATTTGTTGTTTAATGGCGCACAGCAGCAAGTAGAAAGGCTCTCCCACTGTTTCCTGTTAAGGCAAAAATGTTGGTTATACATATGATACAGAATAGGTGAGGCATTTAAGATATCCCATTGCGATCCATACCGATGGATCTCTTTTTGCAACTGCAGTACGGTAGGTGCTGAGGTGGCCAGCGGATGGCGCCACAAAGGCAATAGAGGTAGTGGGTTTACCATCACACAGAGGTCCACATTAGCATGCAGTCCTTTACTGACCTTAGATAAACATGCAATCACAAAAGATCACAATGTTTCTGGACCGGTGTGCTCCCTTAGGTGAGATCGCTGAGATTTGCATATGATATGAGTAGGTGTGGCCAAGATGAGATCAATGAGGTTTGCATTATCCCAGCTGCATTAAAATCAGGCTTAGCATGTCAGGCTGGGTACTTAGGGCCTAAATAAGGGAGAGACCGAGATGGATGTCACCAGTGTGGTTCAAAGAGCACACAGGAGGCAGGGCATTTAAAAAAGAGAGAGCTGGGTGGGCTTCATTAGTGTGGTCTTGAAGAGCACAAATGAGGTGGGGCAGTGACACATAAGGGAGAGATCTGGCTGGATATCACCAATGTGCTCCAAGGAGGAGACAGGAGGCGGGGTAGTGACACATAAGGGAGAGACCTGGCTGGACATCACCAATGTGCTCCGGGGAGGAGACAGGAGGCGGGGCAGTGACACAGACTCATTAGAATTACAAGTTCTAAAAACTGTTGCCACCTGGAGGTGGGGAAATTACAAGAGTGTCTGCAATGCTCTGCAAAACATTTGGCAGCTAAAATAGTTCCCATCATTTTGTGTCATCTGTGCATTTAGCTGAGTGGCCGTAATTGCCCTTTAATTAGGCTGTTTTTCTCTGAAGGAGGAAAATCCCTTTAATTCCTCATCACTAAAGTAAATGATCGAATAGACAGATGTCTTGCAGCTGAGCGTGACAGCCACACCGTCAAGTGACACAGAGGATCAGATGACAATACAGCGCTGTAACCATGTGTCACATGTTTCCAGGGACCGCGGGGAGAATGGACGGGGTCCAAGAATGACAGAACCGGCTGCCTGTGGAAGAGCGGGCTTAGTATGTGGAAACTCTTCCCCTCCGCTCCTCTCCCTGAGATCCCCAACACACTGGGATCTGTTTTCTAAGCCCCAGTAACGGCAGCTAATCAATCGCAGGCTTCTATTCCGGTAACAGAGAGGTCTTATTACTGGGGTCAGCGCTGTCACAACACGACCTCCGACCTTTCACCTCTGAGAGCTTAGTGCCAACAGAACAGTAATAACCGCACATTGTCTATGTACTTAAACCCGTCTGGGTTAGTCTGACCCCGCAAGGAAGGGCAGTGAGACCGTGAACTAGGCTGATATATTCAGATATAGAATCAGATATGATTATTTACTTTGTTACTTTACATCTGAAATGGCTCTTGGACTATTCTTTGCATCCAATACTGAGACGAGGTGGAGGGACGCTGGACCCTGTCCCCGCAACGTATCCAGGATCGGTATTACAATATACAGACTGCTCTCCCTGCTGTTTTAGATGTCAGTTTGAGAATATTTTATCATTTCTATTTTATTGCATATTATAGGGATGCACCGATACCAAGTACCGTACTCGGTACAAGTACAAGTACAGATACTTTTCCAGCTCCAAGACTACACTAGAGAAAGATTCAAATGTTAGGAGGTTGCTGTCATGTGTAAGGAGCACGCGGAGCTCCCGGAATTTGTACATCTCTGTTTTAATGTACGATTTAGTTTTTATAAACATATATATAAGTGATGCACCGATACCAGTTTTGCAAGTATAAGTACTGATACTTGCCCAAGTACTCACAGATACAAGTACTGATACATTTTTGTTTATTGTCATGTGACAGTTTTTCTAAAACAATACAGACTAATGATTTCAGGACAGTGGTGGAACGCCAGAGCCAGGTCCCAGCTGCAACTTGACTGGCCATCGGTTTTCCTTATCCTCTGTGTAGTGGAAAAATAAGTAGAAGAGGGAGGGGAAAATCTAGGTGTGCGGTGTGCATATGGGTTTTGCTGAGCGGAGGAAAGAGGAGAGGGATGAATTATCAGTCTTCTGCTGCTCATGCAATGTGCAATCACAGATAAGGGGCAGGAAGGAGCCCAGGTAGTATTCCTTAACTGCAGGGCTGAGTACATCTTGGGAGTGGTTTGACAAAAAAATACAAATATAGCTCATACAAAGCAGCTGTATTTGCAATGTGTATTGACCTGGTTGCCTAGAGTTTAAATTGAATGCAGGTTATCTCTAAGCCTGATTGAAGGGGACCCTGCGAGGCCCCGAAAGCACTGGCCAATGAGATATAGCTATTGGCAATAAAATATTTTGCTTTTTCAACTTATGGTGTGCTGGTGACATTTTTCTATTATTAAATTGAATGCAGGTCTCCACCTGTATAAGGTTGCTGCATTCACATAGTCAAATACCATGTGGTTATTGTTTTCAGGCGTGTGCGAGTAAAGAAAGCATTGAGCACGGTGTACTGTAAAGGCATCTTAATTCCCAGGTCTTGACCTATTACTGATTAAGATACCTGGAAGAGTGGAACGCATGACCTGTCAGCAGCATAGACAATGTATAGGGACAATATTGTTACAAATATTCTGGACTCCCTACCCGGAGGCAGCTGTACATGCAGATGGACATCCAGTTGGTCAGCATTTTCTCCACCACCGACTCCGTCCTGCGAAGCATCAGCTTGGGGTTCTTGGAGGCTGACGAGTCTATGAGGTCCACCAGGAGATCTTTCATGATGCTGGTGTAATACTCCAACTTGCCATGAAGGGCGATAGTGAGCAAAGAGGCCAGGTTACACCTGAGGAATTGGGGCACAAAGTCAGTTTTGGTGAGTCGGCTACATACAATACTCCAGATAACCGTACGCTCTAATGGCTGGTGCTTCCAAGTTGGAGGCAGCCCTGGGTCACGTGATCTGTAGGTGTCGCATTGTTGAGTGGCCCTGGGGTCTGCTAAAGGCGGCCATACGCGTTTAGCATGGATGGAGCAATCTCGTGCTGCTGGGGTGCCCTCCTTTCTGCCTTGCTCAGAACCTAACCTCTCTTTCCACAATAGAGGTGAATGGGGCCAGATGGGATCTCTCTGATATCATGAATGAGCATAATTAGACGGCAGAGAGATTCCGATGGGTGGAGGTAAGAATCCTTCTCATGTAAAATTGCAAACCCAGGATTAGGTGTTCCCAGAATTCCAGGTTCCTGGTAAGCAGGTTTACAGAGAAAGCTTGCCCGATGTACTCAAATCCAAGAAGGAAAAGCTCAGCACAGGGCAGGTAGTCTGAGGCCATACTGATGCAGCTATGCTAAATTTAGACTGGAATGTATCTTAGTTTCTTGCATGATACCCAACCTTCTACACAGCTGAGCATGGTAGTACGTATAGGTTCGACTTTAATTTCAGACTCAATGCCACTGTAAAGGGAACCTGTTTTGAAATAGCAATGTAGGCAGCCATTGCCAAAGAAAAACCGCATTCAATAGGGCTCCAACAAAATAGCTGGAATTCCTATTAGACTCTTATGTACAAGCTCCTGAAGGGAAATCTTTCCCTGGAGCATAAAGCAGCCATCTCAATGGTTGTATTGTGGGAGTCCTAGGGGCCAATTCATAGATCGCTCTCATAGCTCTTTCCTGTGCGAACAAGAGTCACAGTGCCATATGGCCGCTAGATGGAGCCGTGGAGTATTGGAATTTACCAGGGATGCACCGATACCGGTATTTCGGTACCAAAATTTGGTACGAGTACCAAAATTTTTTGTCGGTACTTGCCGATACCGAGTATTGGAAGTCCCATTCAGGAAGCCAGGCGGCGTGTAATGACTCGCCACTTGGCTTCCTGATTAGCCGGAAGCAGCGCAAAAAAAAATTGCCAACCGGCTTCCCGATTAGCAGGGATGTCGTACCCATGCTTCTCATCACTAGGTGACGAGAAAGCATGGAGCCGGCTTTCTGGCCAATCAGGAAGCTGGGCGCTGTGTCATTACAAAAGCCGGGAATGATTTGTGTGAACGGAATCTTTCAGAGGTAATTTTCACACGTAACGTTTTTCCTGCTTCACATCACAAAGTACCAAATCGTAGCCCAAAGCAATTACAGGCAGCAAGGTTTTATTTTTAATGTATTCCCTTTAAATAACTTTTATCTCTAAGGAAATTAACCCTGCGTGAACCAAATGGATATTCCATTAATAAAGCATTTTTTGTTCACAATGCCGTTGATCCGCCTTCCTTCTTCTGTCTGCAAAATACGCCTATTGTTAACCAGGATTCTGCCTTAAAGGAGAACTATGAGGTGAGTGCTTTTCACTCACCTCATAGTTCTAGCCGACCTGTGACAATGAGACTGTCACAGGTCGGCTCAGTAGATCGGGAGGTGAGCGAACACATACCGGAGCGGATCTCGACATCGATGTCGGTATGCGCTCCGGCTGCTGTGTCTCAGTATATTGCGAGCTGTAGCTCCCTATATACTGAGCTTAGGGTGACGGGAGGACGCTAGTTTGTGTCCTCCCGTTACCCTAAGGATCAGGGCTTTTCCCCATAGTTCTCCTAAGGGTCAGAGGAGAACACAAACTAGCGTCCACCCTTCACCCTAAGCTCAGTATACGGCGAGCTGCAGCTCGCCGTATACTGAGACGCCACAGCCGGAACGGATCCCAACATTACTGTCAAGATCCACCCAGCTGCGTGAGTGACAGCTGGATTTGCCTATCTAGAGGCAGAGCCAGCTGTGCCCGCCCCCTCCCCCGTCCGTTCCGCCAGTCAGCGCTGGAGGATCGGAGCGGGATCTACTTTAAAAGAATCCCCGGCGATCCTGTCCATGAAGGTCCTTGTTCAGGAACTTCCTGTTACAGGGTGACAACCAGGTCTCAATTGCTCTTTAGGGTTGTCACCTTGTCACTTGCACCCCTGGTGGTGACTACGAGCATTGCGCGGGGCACATGGCGACCCCCTCAACTGTGGGTTGCGACCCACAGGTTGAGAACCACTGCCCTAACTGGACCACATTTAGTTGAAAGCACTGTGTATCATAAACAATCGCCGTGAGTTCTTCAATATCTTCGCACAGCTGGAAAAATTCCGTTCGCACATTACTACCGCCACTAGATGGAACTAGAGAGCATAGGAATTTTTATGCTCCTCGGCTCCATTTAGTGGCGTAACAGTGTGCGAACGGCATTCACGTAGCAACACGCTGGGACGAAAGATTTGCAAATCAGCTCTTACGTGTGCACACCTGCCAGTTACTGAAGCCAAGTACTCAAGAGTGACTACAGACTGGAGCCTTTCTAGAGAGCAAGGCATGTGACACACCATGGGGACATAGGGGGTGCTGTACACATGACCAGACATTTACAGCAAAGAGATTTGGGAACTTAAAGGGATGACACATGGGGTTTAGGATGGAGTAGTCTGTTAATCCCAAATTAAAGACTCTTGGGGGTTACCTTGTACAATGTGGCGGAAATTCAGATTAGTGTTGCTCTCCGCAACAACCAATCAGCCGCCGGCTCGTATTTTCTAACTGACCGTAGAAATATGACATCTGGAGCCTCATCGCTTACTATGTTCTTATTTGAAACGCTTCAGCCAATGGCGTCGCGGCTCCGGTTCGATTTCTTTTACTGTCACTATGTATAAAAACTCCTTTATCTTCTAGCGCTCGGAGTCCAGCCAATAAAAATGGCCGATGGTTTTCCTGTTCTCAGAAGTTAGGATCTCTCCGTTGATGGGTTTTGCGCGGCCTGAATACCCCGAGACGTTCCGGAAGGAGAGATTGTCATCACTAATCAGCGTCCTGTAAACACTGCGAGCACATAATTAACTTTTAATTCCGAGCCGGGGGTTCAAGGCGGCTCAGATTTCAGCTGTTTCTGAACACAAAAATCTCCGCAGCTCCCGGACATCCAGATTACATTTGGGGGGGGGGCGGGGGGTTAGGATTACTTTAGGCGAGACTGCACTTCTCGAGGCCGGAGGATGTACAGACAGCCAGCATGCCCTGTGAAGCTGAACTCCGGGGTAAGCAATATTATCCCCATACAAGGGTCCTGTGTATTCGCTATTGAATCTTGGTGAGCTTTGTGTATTTCTTCCAGATCTGTGCAGTAATCCAGTGTGACACTTGGAGCTTCCTGTAATAAAGACCGCAACTACCACTTTGTAGGTGCAAAATCATTTTTATTGTGACAATAATTAGGATGGGTTGTATTGGAAAAAAAACAGGAAAAACACCAAGGGGTGTGAATACTTTTGCAAGTCACTGACTCCAATTATAAACATCAGTATAGGAGATCCCGGTTTATATATCTAACAACCCAGATGGGAATCTTGTGATTTCTTCACGCGGCATCCTCAGAGCGTTATATAAACATACGCATGTCTGAATCTATCACCCCCCCCCCCCCCCCCCCCCCCTTACAT